CGGTTATAAAAGACAGTAGCGACTGACTGCAAATAGGACTCTGTGGTTTCAACGCTTGGCCCATGGCATGAACTTGGTTTATGGCGGTTGGTGGTGGTTGAGGTGGTGGCTGTTTTGGCCGGGGTGTTACCACTTTTATGACTTTTGTTATTTCAACGTTGTTGGGATATTACAAAAGTTTGTCACACTTTATGTCACCTTTAAATATCAATCTAGAATATTTGTCCAATTTAAAACCACCACAATTTTTTCCCAAAGTCATTTGTAACGTTTTTATAGAGGTCGTTTTTCTTGGCATGGTGGGGTGGAATGGGCGAGTGATGTAAAGTGTAGAACACAAATAATGCATTAGATGTCAACACTACTTTGCCTATAAAAAAAGGAAAACAAATTTGTAAGTTGCCATATTTTATGTCGCTTGTACTATAAAACAGGGCATAACTTTCTTAATATGTTTTATTGTGGAAGAGTGGCGGGGGGTAGCAATTAGTAAGGGACATTATTTGTTTATTTATGGCACCTGCAGATGCTGAGTGGGTGACATGAACTTGATTAGCATTTGTTTGGTGTTATAACCGTCCTATAACCCAAGACTTTTTTGATATAATTTGGTTTGAATTTGTATTTTTATACCCTCTGTCATACAAAATCTTGAGGAAATGCACAATTCTAAAACAAGTCTACAATATTGGCGGTTTGTCGTTCGAAGGGAACGCTTAATATGAAAATGGAATATATCGTTTCACATTTATTGACGTTCTCTTTTAACGGCACCGCCCGATTCTAGGTTTTTTGAAGGTTTCGATCACATTTTACAAAATTAGCTGATATTAATTGATTGTGTCAAAAAAAAAAAAATAATAATAATAATAACAATAATAAAAATAAATAAATCGAAATCGGTCCACATTCGAGTAGGTGCTGACACCGATTTTATGTATTTTAAGGATATCGCATTATCTCATTTATTTACAATTCGTAATTTAGACTTTCCAATAAATACCACAGCATAAATATTCGCATTGACTTTAAAATATTTTAACATCCAGCACAAATAGAGGGTGAGATAAAAAAACTGCAACCAACTTCAAACTGCTGTCATTTCTAAGCCACTCGTCCGGCAGCTGTTAAAATTATTCCAGTGACAGCTCTTATTTTGTTTCCAAGCGCACAAAAGCATTTATGAGATCATTTTCCAGAAAAAAAGTCATTCGTGACGGAATTCAAGCGTGATAGTGTGTTCTTTATATTTGGCTGGAAAATCAAAAGTGGCTATCGTTAGAGCACTCCAGTCTTTAACTGTGAATAAATCTCTTGTGTCTCGTACCATTGCTCATTACCGTGACACTGGTAGCTTAGCCCGACGTCAAGGAAGTGGACGGAAGAAAACAGCAACATCAGCAGAAATGGTTTCAAAAGTATAGAACCGACTTGATCGAAATCCGCGTCGCAGTGACCGAAAAATGGCTCGTGAGCTAAATATATCACAATATTCCATTCGGCAAATATTGAAAAATGGGCTCGGGGTAAAGCCCTTGAAATTCCAAAAAGGACAAGAACTTACATCGCATCTGAAAAAATAGACTCAAAGGAGCTAAAGAGTTGCTTCGCTTGGCCGAAAGTGGTGAACTGCCTAATTTGAATTTGGGTTTCTCCGCTCCGATAAGAAAACATTGATTGTCCAGCAGTTTGTAAACAAACAAAATGATCGTGTTTACTTGCCAAAGAGGTCAGCTGAAAATGTTCACCTTCGGTTGGCCAGCAGAACTCAAGTGCCGGCCATGGTGATGGTGTGGGCCGCCATAACATTGGACATTCCAACAGGACTCCGTTTGAAGGCCATAATTCATGCCAAAGGTGACCTATTCGGACAAAGCTAAACTTATTCTAAAACTTATTCTAAAAAATTAAAAAATGTAAAAATTATGGCGATTGACTTTGTTGTAGATTTTTTTTATCTCATCCCGTAGCTCTCAGCATAGAGGTAAGGCTAATGTATTTTAAAATATTTCGACAATAAAATCGTATTGTGATGGGTTAGAAATGTTCTTTTAGAAAAGAAGGAAGTTTCATATTTTAAGGCACATCATAACTGAATAATTATACAAATTTAACGGATGTTGTGAAAGTTTCCCATTCTAAAGACCTGGTCTTATGTTGAGTGTTAACTTTATGTCATTTTAAGATAGCGTTTAATGCTTTGTGAAATACATATATATACATCATATCCTAGGTTACTTCAAAACTTGGCACTGCAATTTGTTAAGTATCTAGGATGGTTGGTATTGAAAATTAGCGGTCCATATTTTGGTATATTCCCCATATAATGACACCTCCTTATATACTATATATTGATGATTTTTGTCACATTTTTCTACGGACTTGTCTAAAAATTCGTATATGTAGTTCGTAATGAGTTCTAGCTCCGGTGACAGCACATTGAATATTTAGGTAGATAACAATCCTACAATGGCTGCATTATATGGTTTCCTAGTCCTATTTTTAAAATTGTTTGAATGAATATTAAATGTTAATGTTAACTCCGAATCCATTGTTCATTCCAAAAATATATGGATTTCAATCCTGCACGCATTTTTTGTTCACTATCAGAATGCTTTATTTGAATTTTTAGGTCAATACCTCACACTTTTAGGCTGAGTCGACTGATATATTTCCCCTTACCACATAACCATATATTTATATATAACCTTTGTCCAATATATATAATAGATCAAATATTTGTAAAAATAATGCTGTGTATAATCTTTGCAAAAAAAAAAATGGGGTTGTTGCAATTATTAAAAGTTCTGACCAGTGGGCAAATATTGAACATATTGTTGCATACAATTTTGACTCCATGTTCTGATAAAAATATACCATATATACCACGTACCATGCTGAGACTAGACCAAGTATTCGTCTCGATTTATATTATATGACTTTTGTGGGGAATTATATCGGCTCAGAGAGTGAGCCGATATGTGCAATTTTTAGAAATACTTGAATGCAGTCAAAAATAAACTGTGGAATAAATTTAAAAAAAATTGACTCTCATTCTATCTTTAATAATCTCCTCAGTTTATCTTCAAGAGCACAAAGTTGTTTTAGTTTAGAAAAAAAGAAAATTTAAAGCTTCGAAAACTAACTTGGACAAAAAAATTGACTCCAACAATGGCTATCAGTTTCTAATTATTTTGAAAGTGGTCCATTTATTTATATATTATGAAGATATCTCCCTATTTTATGTATTTTAACTATGATCTAGCTATGTATTCATGTTAAATTGTAATTCATGTTAAATTAAATGGCTACAGGTCGCCCAATCCTAACGAAATTTTAGATGGAGGTGGGGTTAAGGTTAGAATAGAAGCCTATTGTATTGATCGCCAAATATTAACGGATTGAAATGAACCAAAAAATACAAATTCCATAGATACACTAGTGGTCACAATTATCGTCAAATCTACTGGAAATATTGCACAGGCCTAGAGTTTAGCCATGGAAAGAAGCCTAACAATTTGAATGACTATCGAATAATATTTAGCGGCTGAAATATACCATAACTTTTATGTAAACGATACGAAACTTTCAATTGAACCGTGAATATTTGTAATTTCAGTAAAATGACAAATACACAGAAACGTCACTTCCGACCGTTAAATTGGTGCTGATATCCACCATGTCACATATATAACAAAATCTCATATATCAAAGAAGGGGATTTATTTTTTTTTTTAGGTGGTCTAAAATGCCAATTCGGAATGGCTTTTTGACAGAAAAGAATAAAATTTAGAAAAATCGCTTACAAAATACTGAAGCCTAGCATTTTTGATGGCCACAGAATAATATTTTTCCGGTGACCACAATTTTGTATGAAAAGAATACCAAAATTAACGGAAACACGAATATGAAAGGCACTCGTCCGACCTTTACATTGATACACATATCGAAGATGCAGGAAATCATATAGAGGATTTTGGAATTTTGCTCAACATTTGTTTTTATAATGTAGTAGATATGTATTTTGAAGGAGGCCCCTTCAATAAGCCCTCGATACCTTGGCAAAAAATATATCGTCTGTTTTTAGGCATTTGATATATTTTAGCTTATTTTACCGAATTATCTGCACTACATGGTATTTAGAGCTCTTAATATGTATATATTAATTTACCGTTACCAATTATTTTTCATTTGCTTTTTTAAAAATAATTTTTTCAGAAATTATCTGTCTGAGATTTTAATAGCTTTGACACAAAAATATATTTTATTTATTTTTTAATCACAAAATGTTTAGCATTGAATCGAAGAACGGAGGCTTAAATTGCAATTCTACCACTTGGTTGAATTAGGACACACTTTCTAGAGATATTTTTTGACTTTGAAAACAACTATTTTTGAAATTTTGTCATTGACAAATTATTTTCTTTAAACGATGTTAGTTGTTGTACTTCATACATATACCTTACATGCATACATCTTCATCCGATCTTTTTGTTTATAAAATTGTAATTTCTAAAAATGTTCATAATGTTTCCTATCTTTCAGTTATGCTGTTTTTTTTTTTAAAAAAGACAAAATTTTTAGTGTAAATCTCAGCCCCCTAAAAAATCTCCAAATTAATATTTTGTGTAATTTAGTTGCCTTCGATAATTAGATAGATCCCATAAGAGCATTTACAGTACCAAAATATATATTGGGGTTGTGGTATGTTTTCAAATTCTAATATTTAATTATTTATTCCAAATTAAAATCGGTTGAATGAAACAAACTAAAAAAGGAGACTTTTCCATTATCGACCACATACGTGTGGATATGCAAACAAAAGAAAATGTCACAAAAACTAAAATCCCAACCTAACCGAATTCGATATCAGTTGCATCGAAATAACAATAACCCAAAACGCCAAGACCTAGACAATAAGACCGACCCACATGCACACACACACACACACCCGCAAACAATCGAACACAAAATATTGAGCCCCATGGCATAGCACTTACCAATTTATTGAACCGACTTTAAGGACAATAACAAACGAGCACGCAGACACGCACACACACGAAACTTTTTTTTCGCCAATCTATAGCTTTAGCCAGACACAAAGAATGTGTGCCGAAAATCGGGTTATTTGAGCAGGGCGATAGGCGGAGAATGTTTTTGCACACACCAAAAGCAAATCACAAAATGATAATACTGATGGCGGCAGCAAGTCTGTCTGTTTGTTGGGTGGTTGTTTGGTCGGTCGTTTGGTTTGTTTGTTGGTTGGTTTGGTTTGGTTGCCCTTGAGTAATCCACAATTATCTGATGTTGATGATGATGTCTCAATACTCACAAGACTATATAGATGGGGTATTTAGATGGAACATATAGATGACACATATATCAATGTATGTGTGTGTGTGTTTGGTAAACTCATACACTCTCACACACACAAGTTTTTTATATATAAATATGTATGTTGTTTGAAACGATATCGGGGATTTGTTATTGAAAGCCGTTGCGTTGCGTCTTTAAATATTTTTTTTTTTTTTTGATTCTAAGGAGATTTGAATTAATCCTCTTATGTTTTTTTGTTGTTGTCGTTTTCTTTTGAGGGATCTTAACACCGAATCACATCAAATCCAATACAATTTTTAAATGTTAAACAAATTGACGGAGTTAAAATTTATTTTGTCACTAAGGGCATGGATTTTGTAACCTTTTTGTTGTTTCTGTTTTTTTTTCGAAAATTTTTAAATTTCTCCCCTTTTTCAAATCTTTAATTTATCAATCTTTTAAAACCCCATTTTCATTTGAGTCGAAAAAAAAACGTCGCTAAAAATTAACAACGACATTTCATAATGACATCATCATCTTCAGTTTGTTCCCATTTGCTCAACGATGAGAGGGGTAATGATGCTTTGCACAAAAATACAAAACTTGTTATTTAACTTTTGCTTTAAAAAAAGATATTCGATATCCTTGACGGGTTTTAATGTCCCGATGCCAGCTAAACTCTGGTCGTTGTACTCGTTTTGGGGATTTGTTTTCATTTAATTTCTACTGTTTTCCATACTCGTCCGTTTTTTCTCATGAAAACGCCTTAAAAAAATACCGTATTCACCTTTAATTTTTTTTGTTTTTGTTTTGCTTCAGAATTCTTTCAGTGTCACACGCACGCACACACACACACAGACAATACTTCTCCTAGAAAATTTTCTGTTTTAATGTTTTTTCCTTTTTTTTTTTTTTGAACCGTACCGTTTCGATTTAATTCCGCAATTGCGACCGTAACGTTTTGAAGTTTATCTGCAACTGATTTCACATGATTCCAAAACGAAAGCCTTTTGCTGTTACGGCACTCAGCATCACAAGGATGCTGTAAAAGCTTTTGCTCTGCACCACACAAAAGCTTTTCCTCGAGCCAAGAGAAAAATACTGGGATTTTATTAAAATGTTTTGCTTTTTTGTTTTGCTAACATCTTTTAAGGGTTCCACACAATGCCGCTAACTGTGAGACATGTTTTGGCTTCCTCTTTCTGCCGTACTTATCATCCACGTTTTCCTCGTTCGTTCCATTTTAACCGTGTGGTTTGTTGATATAAACAATAACGTGATTTGGTTTACCAATACCATTACATCCGGTGTGTTTCTTAGGGTTCTGTCCCTGTTTGGGGGAAATTTGGACCAATACACTTGAATGTGCTTACCTTAGGGCAGCGTGTCTGAAGACCATCTTCAATTAGTTACGTGTGAGCAGACACGTGTAATTTGAACAAGTAAAAAAACATTAAGTTCGGCCGGGCCAAACTTTTAATACCCTCCACCTTAGGGTAAAAGAAACATTAGAAGAAATGTGGCAAAAACCATTAAAATGACGAATATCGGCAGGTACCGTTATATAGGGGCTACACCAAAACGTGGACCTATAATTACAATGTTTCGCTACACGAACTAGGACCCATTATGACCCACAAATACCAATTTTTAGACAAATCAGTGAAAAAAGTGTGGCAAAAACCATAAAAATACCGAATATCGGGAGGTACTGTTATATGGGGGCTATACCAAAACATGGACCCATACATGCAATGTTTCGCCACCGGAGCTGGAACCCATTATGACCCACAAATACCAATTTTCAGACAAATCCGTGAAAAAAGGTTGCGAAAATCATCAAATTACCGAATATCGGGAGGTACCGTTATATGGGGGCTATACCAAATCATGAACCCATACATGCAATGTTTCGCCACCGGAGCTGGAACCCATTATGACCCACAAATACCAATTTTCAGACAAATCCGTGAAAAAAGGTTGCGAAAATCATCAAATTACCGAATATCGGGAGGTACCGTTATATGGGGGCTATACCAAATCATGAACCCATACATGCAATGTTTCGCCACCGGAGCTGGAAACCATTATGACCCACAAATACCAATTTTTAGACAAATCCGTAAAAAAATGTGGCAAAAAAAAACTAAAATACCGAATATCGGGAGGTACCTTTATATGGGGGCTATACCACAACGTGGACCTATATATGCAATGTTTTGCCACACGCTCAGGGACCCGTTATGACCTACAAATACCAATTTCCAGACAAATCCGTGAAAAAATGTGGCATAAATCATCAAAATACCGAATATCGGGATGTACCGTTATATGGGGACTATATCAGAACGTGGACCGATATATCTCATTTTCAATACCAACCATCCTAGACACAATGCAAATAGCTCTGCTAAATTTTGGCGCTCTACGTCAAATAATGGGGGCTGTATCGTGATTTCAACAGACAGACAGACAGACAGACAGACGGACAGACAGACGGACAGACAGACAGACGGACATCGTTAAATCGACTTAGAATTTTATGCTGATTATGAATATATATACTTTATGGGGTCTAAGACGAATATTTAAGGATGTTACAAACGGAATGACAAAGTTAATATACCCTCCTTTCCAAGGTGGAGGGTATAAAATTGAAGTTAAACTAAGTTCATTTGTATATCTTTTAGCAAGGATTTGGTAAAGATTTTTCATAGTTTTCCGTCAGTTATGGTAGAGCGTTGCTTCTATATTCTCAAACCCCAAGGCAAATTTCACCGAGAGAATATAGAGTAGAAAAAAATGTAGAGGAGAAAACAAATTATAAAATGTCAAAAGCGCCAAAAGAAATATACCCTCAGCATATCGTTTCACCTCGTTTTGTCCACATTGCGGTAGAAATATCACACTGGTCTAGGGGCTAAAAAAGAATATACGGCGTTCTGAAAGTTTAATTAGCAAATTAATTTAAATAGAGGCGGAAAAGTCCTCCGGAATCCATCCATACATACTGTCTCCACCAATATTGGAAATAAGAATAGTTTGGTCTAAAATTATAACCCTCAAGCGATTCCAAAAAGGTGTCTTTTTGATTCTTTTTTAATATTATGGTTAAAAACTCGCTTTTAACGGTACTGTTGCAAAAAAATCCATAAAATTATTTTGTCAGAAAATTCAACTACAGTTCCTGGAAATCGTCAAAAGTCATTTCTTGGGAAAAGCGTCAAAGTACGAGTTATTATACTTCAAACTTCATTGTGAACAAAACAAATTTGAATACTTAATATGTACAAAATTGCAAAATTGTTAATAATACAGTAAAGAAAGGCCAAAAGTCGACTACATAATATTCTACACCACTCTATATATTTAGCAGAGCTACCTATAAAATGTAATCGTTTGTTTTGGAAATTTATGTGAAGTAGATATTTTTAATGCTTATTGACTTTATGTGTCTTCCATTTTGGGCTAATGTTACATACTTGATAAACAATAATCATCAAATCGGCTGAAGATAAATATGGGAGGTATATCCAAAAATGAGCCGATTTTAATGAAATTTGGCAGAGGCATTTCTGAGTAAATCTGATATCTGGCTTCAAATATCATTCTTGTGAAGGGCAAATCGGATGAAACATATATATGGGTGCTATACCTATAAATGAACCGATTTGAAATCGAACGAAAATATAAATGGGAGCAATATCTAAATTTGGACCGTTTATCACCAATTTTAATATGATTCGTCCTTGGATCAAACAAATGGTGTATGAAAATTGCATCCCAATCGGACAATAAATGCGTCCTGCATTTTGCTCACAAAAATACATGGACGGGCATACATAAATCGACTCAGAATGTGATTTTATGCAGTTCATCGAAATGAACTATGTGTCTATCTCGCTTCCTTCTCTATGTTACAAACAAATGCACAAAGATTCAATACCCTGACCACGGTGTGGTGTAAAGTATAAACAGAAATTATTTTTAAATTTTCTTTTATCAATTTTTCTGGAATTTTTTCTAGTTGACGTTTAATAGTCTCATAAAATTTTATTTCTAGTGGAAGGTGTCTAAAGGAGAAATATTCCACAGGAAAAACTCGTTTTTAGATTGAAATCCTAAAGACGTTATGGGCTCCTTGTTGAGGCTCTTTAATAGTATTCTATGGTACCCCTATGTGTTGACATATATTTTGCAATATTTAGGATAGAGATTTCATATGTGATATGTGTGACAGGATTTTTGAACTATACCCAACATCATTGGTACAGAAAATGGGTTATATCGGTCAACTTTCTGGAATAGTCACTTTGTAAGGATAAATGTGGTTCAGTATAAAAATAAAATAAAATGAACATTTGAAGATTTTTGCCCGACGAAACCTTCAATCCTAAAATGATTTTTATCCCGATTTCCTTTACGCTATAAAAAAATACCACATCTAGTGTCATTTTTTATGATTCGCAAGTTTACAATTTATATTTTAAAATCCAACTGTTTATTTCAAATGTTAACAAGTTAGAGTGTTTTTTTTTTTTTAAATAAACCATCATTTGTAGGTTATACCAATTTGTGGAAATTAATCGAACATCTTTCGCAAAGAGGGAACAAATATTTCAATAAAACAAAATGTAAAGTTTCAGCTGATCTGGAGTTACAGTTATATGGGGCTATGTCAAATTGTAGAACTGAATAGAGAATTTTCGCAAGGAGAGAACAGACCTACCAAGAACATTAATTGTCAAGTTTCATCTAATTTGGTTGGAGATTTTGCCAAAAACTTTCAAAAATTCGAAAATCGGTAGGTCCCGTTATGTGGTTGCCATACCTTGGATCCTGATCGAACATTTTTGCAGGGAGAGGACAGATCTACACCTAAACGTGGACCAATAAAGCCTTTTTATACACTCCACAATTTCATTGAGGGTATATTTGCTTTGTCATTCCGTTTGTAACTCCTCGAAATATTCATAATATACCCTACATATTATATATATATTCTGGATCAGCGTAAAATTCTAAGACGATCTACCGATATCCGTCCTTCTGTCGTCTGTACGTCTGACTATCTGTCTGTTGTAATCACGCTGTCTTTCGAACGAATTGAGATAGAAGGTTAAAATTTTGCATACATGCGTTTTCGTATAGCCCCCATATGACGGTACCTCCCGATACTCGGTATTTTCATGATTTCAGCAACTTAATTCACCGAAATCACTTCAAATTTCGTATTTGAAGATCTTAATGGTTTTTACAGCTTGTGACCCAAATTTGTGTATGCAGGTTCACGTCTTTGTATAGCACCCATATAACGGTACCTCCATATATTCGGTATTTTGATGATTTCCGCAACATTATTCACCGGAATCGTTTTAAATCTAGTATTGGAAGATTTTAATGGGTACTACAATATAGGGCAAAAAATCATATGCAGGTCCATGTTTTCGTATAGCCTCCATATGACGGTAACTGCCGATATTCGGTATTTTCATGATTTTAGCGACATTATTTACCGGAATTATTTCAAACTTTCTATTGGAAGATCTTAATGTGTACTATAACCTATGGCTTCGTATGCAAGATCACGTCTTTGTATAGTCCCCATAGTTTTTTCAGTTTTGCAATTTTTTCGATATCATAAAGGAATAAGGTTATCGCAGTAAACAGTTTTACATTCCTAATGTTCTGAAATGTCCCGGCCGAACTTTTAATACCCTCCACCATTTGAAAGGAACTTGAAATTTTTCAAAAAAAAAAAAAAAAAAAAAAATCCAAAAACTACCACTTACATGAAACCCGTTAGCTATTAAGCGTTAGCTTTTAAGCGTTTCGAAAATAATTAATTTACAACAATGCCGCACCGTAAACAACGAATAGTAAACCGTAATGATAAATGCTATCAAACATAAAAGCCTTACAATGTTAGAGGAATTTGCATTTCGTATTCCATTGTTG